ATAAAAGAGAACAAACAGGACAGTGATCATAACCTAGCAAGTGTAGGCATGCGGATATATAGATATATAGATCACAATACAATCAAAGTCACGCAGTGAGCAAGTGAGACAAAGAAGGCACAAGGCCTAAAGCAGTACAGAAACGCTGATGATCACAAGGCTGAAGTGCCTTGGTGAATATATCAGCAGTGTTGGCCTGTGTGGCCACGCTGCTGCAACTCTCGAGCAAGGAAGTAACGCACAGCGTGCTCCAGTCTGTGCGCCTGACACAAGGCAATCATAGCCTTGTTGTCTACGTAAAGAACTGGAGGAGAACGAGGCCGCTCTCCCAAGTCGGTCAGCAGGTAGGTGAGCCAGCGTAAATCCTGTGCAGCCATGTCTCCTGCGTATATCTCAGCCTCATAACTGGAGCTGAGAACAGAAGACGAATGGGTAGACCGCCAAGAAACAGAGCCGGAGCCAGGTTGTCAACCCAAGACGTGTCTGAGTGTCTAGTGAGGACAACTGGACCCCATTCTCCAAGCACGAGCCCCATGCCCGACATACTGCACAAGTAGCGCAACACCCTCTTAGCGGCCTCCCAGTGCTCTGGTCGGTGTCTCCCGGGCGCGACGTAGCGTGCCAGGATGCTAAGAGGGTACGTAAGGAAAGGTCGAGAGCAGGTCATCAGGTACATGAGGCAGCCCACAAGCTCGGCTCTACGGACTCGTCCGAAGGCAGAGCTGAGAGCGAGTGACCGGCCGGCAGAGGAGTGGACTGTGGCGAGGAGAACCGGAAGCCGAAGCGCTGAAGGACCTCGTGCACCATGTGTGACTGAGACAGGGTGATGGTGCGCCGTGCTCTGTCTCGGATGATTTGCAAGCCGAGATAGCTGCGCAGCTCACCCAGGTCTGTGCAATGTGTCTCTTCTGCAGCTCCGACTTCACAAGGGCCAGTGCCTCAGTGTCAGCAGTGGCAAAAACCAAGTCTTCGACGTATACGAGGATGTAGAACGGCGGCAGCGAAGTGTCGATGCGGAGATACAGCGACGGGTCGGCAGTCGAAGGAGCAAACCAAAGGGCTGCAAGTGTCGTCCTCAGTGTGTCGTGCCACTCACGAGGCGCCTGGCTGAGACCGTAGACTGGCCGTCTGAGGCTCCACTGGGTACCCTCAGAGTTTAGGGTTTAGGACGGCGCAGCCAGATCTCCTCGTGCAGGCTGCCCTGTAAGAAAGCAGTGCTGAAGTCAAGAGAGTGAAGCTCGTAGTTACGCTGAGCGGCAACGTGCAGCAACACCCGAAGAGTGGTCATCTTCGGGGTAGGGGAGAAGGTCTGGAAGAAGTCAACTCCCTGTCGCTGACTAAAGCCTCGTGCAAGGTAACGAGCCTTGAAGACAGGCGGAGAACCCGGCGGCCGTTTCACCCTGAAAATCCACATGCCATTGACTATGTTTGCCCCAGGAGTGGGAACTGCGTCGACGTAAGTGCCTGCAGACTTCCAGGATGCCACCACTGCGTCCATGAGTGTCTACCACCCAGAGGAATAGGGACCTGTAATCGCCTCTGCGTAAGAGTGCGGGGCCAGGATGTCCAGTGCATCCGGGTCTCCCTCAGGTGCAAGCAGCATGGCCACGAGATGAGGTACAACAGCTGCAAGACACTCAAAGTCCTCCTGCCTGTCCTCAAGGACGTCCGTGCCAAGAGCACACTCACCCCCGACGGGCGGAGGACAGTCAGACTCAGACTCAGCAACAAGACTGGCGGCGTAGTTGAGACGACACGCAGCAGCAAAGTCAACAAGCTCAACAACTAAGGCAGACGCATTAGTGGACTCAAACGAAGGGTCAGTGACAACTGTGGCTAGGAGACGTGTGACAGTAGGGCTGGCAGCACGAACCAAGTCAGACTCAGGGTCCGGAACGTCAGGAAGAGAGGACGCCAGAGGAGACGGCAGAGGGACACGCTGTGGAACAGAGGAAGGACGAAGAGCCATAGTGTGAGTGCCAGGGACAGGAGGAGGACGCGGACGAGGAACACGACGACCAGTGCGAACAGTGCAAACAGGCGAGGCAGGACGAGACTCAGGCTCACGACGCTCGGTAAGAGAGTCTGTCTGCTCAGTGTAAGGAGAAGGAGCAGGCAGCGGGGAGTCTGGTTGTAACAGTGGTTCCGACTGGTCAGGCGGTGGACACAGTAAGGGAGGAGTAAGACCAGTAGAAGACGGGAGACTAAGAACCTGGTGAAGCACCGAGCCAGGTGGTGGCAGAGACGACGGTGGCGGCAGACTCACTAGCACCTAGACGAGCAGCCTCTATACCTGGGTCGGGCGGCACACACAGGTAACAGTCACCTTCAGCACTAACAGTCAAAGCATACATGCCAGCAAGGATAGCATCATAGTCAAGAGCACATATATCCCCATCGTTCCTAAGCAGCTCTTGCCAGCGGGGGAGCTCAGCCTCGTCGCCAAACTCTGCGCGCCAGGCGTCGTCAAGACGGGAGAAGCAGCGGTACTGTGAGTGACCAACCTTCTCGCATGTCTGACCAGCGCGATCACCTGTGCGAATGACGTACGGGCAGTGAACACTACCCCCAGACGCCCCACGCTGAGCAAACCACTCACGAAGCTGCTGGGGCGTAAGGGTCTCGCGCGGACGCTGCTGCTGTTGCCTCTGGCCACCGCCAGAACCTCCCCTCTGGACGGCTCCACCCTGGCCGCCACCACTACCGCCGCCACCTCCACCACTCCCACCGCTACCACCGCCACCTCCACCACTCCCACCGCTACCACCACCACCGCCACCGACGCCTCCACTCCCGCCACCACTCCCACTGCCACCACCGCCACCACCGACACCTCCACCGCCTCCACCGCCTCCACCACCGCCTCCACCACTGCCACCCCCACCACTCTTGCCTCCCTTGACCTTGCCGTTGCGGCACCTCCCACTAGGAGCAGACGCAGCCCCGACCTCCTCAGCACGAAGGAAGTCAACAGCAGCAACAGAAGCGACAGAGGGGGCAAGGGGGGAAGGGGAACACCCCTCAAAGAAGGGAGTGCGAGGAGTGCCACGAGAAGCACCTACAGCGACGATGCTAGTCTCAACTGCAAGGAGGTGCTTCTCGAACAGGTCGACAGTGAGGTCTGTGGGGTCAAGGGCCAGAAGGAGGTCCCTGACTGCGCGAAGAGAGTCAAGGAGGCAGGTGACGATGGAGTAGAGAATGATGTACGTGGGGGGGGGGGGGGGGGTCTTGTCTAAAAACTCGGGTTTAAGCGCGGCGCGGTAGCGAGTGTCGCTAGTGCGAAGGTGGGTGATGAGGTCGTCGACTGTGGGAAAGGCCGACAGCTCGGGAAAAAGGTAGGGCAGTATAAGTCGGCCGAGAACAGCAGTGGTAGGGGAGGAGTAACGAGTAACTACAGCGGCGAACAGGCCTTTAGCAGTCTTGTGTTGGCCAAAGTGCGCGCGTTCGGCTAACGGCATGTGGTTGCGAACGGCGAGGCGAGCAGTAGCGTCACGGGTAAGCCACTGTGAGCGAGTCGCACTGTCAGCTGTTTCGGGAGGAGCGAGAGAGGTCCCAGACGTGTGTGGTCAAACAAGGAGACGCCGTCCCTAGACTTGCTCTGTAGGTACAGCTGTAAGTCGTATCGTATAGCCAGGTCTCAAACTGGATCGGACGGCCCTCAGAATCGAAGGTGAGAACACTAAGAGAAGCAATAGCGGGCAGAGCAGGGTGGCGCGCGACCAGCAGGGCAGCACGCAGGCAAGGCAGAGCTGCGCGCAGGCAGCAGGACGGCTCGACGGGAAGGGCGGAGCGCGGGCACTAGGGAATCGCGCAGGGCAGAGCGGGGCGGCGCGTAGGCAGGCCGGGGCGGCGCGCGGCGAGCAGGGCAGCGCGCGGGCAATGGGGCGACGCGACATGCCGGGCAGGGGCGGCGCGCAGGCCCTAGGGCGAAGCGACGAGCAGGGGAGGGCGGCGCGCGGGCACTAGGGCGACGCGACGGGCAGGGCAGGGCAGCTCGCGGCCAGCAGGGCGGCGCGACGGGCAGGGCAGGGTAGCGCGGCAGGCAGTAGGGCGGCGCGCGGGCAGGGCAGAGCAGCGCGACTGGTGGGGCAGCGCGACGGGCAGGGTAGGGCGCTACGAGCAGGGTAACGCGCTACGGCAGGAAACTATTCGGTGGGCCCTAAAAAAAAACGGTCCTGGAACAGGACCAGGGCCTCAGTTATCAGGATAGTTTATCCTGATTCTCCTAAATTCAGGATAGGTGTCATGTGCTAGTCCTGGAAAAACAGCAAAACAGGAATAATTGTCCTGTACTTTCAGTATAACGGTTATTTTGCGTACTGAAAACTCAGGATAAGGCTGTAGGTGCAGCCCTGATGAGTCAGGATAGTGTCGAATCTCGCTCTGAAGCGAGATGTACTGTACGAAAAATCTCCTGGGTTTCGGGGCCTAAATAATTTACGGGCGAGCACCTCAAACATAGGAGCCAGCGGGAATCGAGCAGCAAACCTCTTACACAACGCATGTAACACATTGTCGCTTTACCCGCTGCCACACTTCACCTATCACAAAATTTAGCACTGAATTTATAGGATATAACCAAATGCAACACTGGCATTTCATGATACCTCACCTTGTGCAGCCCTGACAATTCAGGGCAAATTCTAATTTCCTAAAAACTTCTCTGAGGCCTCAGTGTACCCCCAAACGAATCTGAGGCCCTGAACAGGACCTGCTCTGAACCCATGTCAGAATACTTAACGAGAATGATTGCATTGAGAATAACTGAGTACAAGTACTAACCCTAATTGGGTTGTACCCCTTATAGGCTACCCCACTACAACCTACACAATGTGATGTTTTGACAAAATGTGTTACAACATTCGCCCATAAGATATTTGTTGGGACTCGTTTTTACCAGTGCAATTTGTTACAGCCATGGTTGACGACGAAGAATCACAACAAAACCTGCCATACCGGTACGTTTCTTCGATTAATTTCCATAATTCCAAACAAACTAATCAGAACCGTGACTTTCTTTTCCGTGCAGTATACTTTGTGTCTCTGGGAACATCCATGTCTCCTCGCTGCCGCCGGTGCTCCTTTTTCTTCAGCACCCAATTCCTTCCCTTAGCCCCTTTCCCATTCAGCTTCTGCTTCTTCCCAGGCCGTTGCCTCTGCCGCTGCTCATAACCCACAGTCCTCCCTTCCCCATCACTCTCGTCGCTACCGTCCTCATCCTCGCTCTCCTCACTCTCCCCATCGCCCCCTTTAGCCTTGGGCATTGGGCGGCTACCTGCAGGGCCAGCTACGAGACATAGAAAGTATTTCTTGGCTCGGGTGCTGCCCACAGTCATCCCGAGCAAGAGCACACCACACAGGTGACGGAGGGACGAGAGGGGGATGGGAGAACCGGGGAGGACAGAGGGGTAAGTTTGGGGTTTTGGAGAAAGCAGCAGGAGGGGTGGGGACGAGGAGAGGGAGGGGAGGGGGAGGCGAGAGGGGGGGGGGGGTGTTGGGGGGATGCAGAAATAGAACGACAAAACAATACAAAAATCCAATATGGTGCTACATGGCCGAGAACAAGCCCAAAAATCAGCATCTGTCAACCAAATAGTCTCACGCCCTGTTACAGTCAACTGTATGGGTACCCCACCACAAGCTCGCCTGTTAAAGCCACCTTTGGGGTAGTCACTCAGTCTCTCGCTCTGCTGTAAGTAACCACCTGTTAGTAATCACTCAGTCTTTCTTCCTGTTTGGACCTACCTGTGGGGTGGCAGCCCACCATGAGAAGCCTCATGACCTTGTTGAAATCACCTGGCTCTGTTGAAATCACCTGGATCTGTTGAAACCACCTGACATATTGAAATCACCTGGCTCTGTTGAAATCACCTGTGTGGGTAGTCCACGACGAGCCCCCCTGAGAAGCCAGCCTGCATGGCGGCCTTGGAAATCATCTCCAGCTGCGGCGCCCCGTTGGGGTAGATCTGCAGCGCCGCCCTGCCGCCCCTAGCCAGTGAGCGGTACAGCGACTGGAAGAACGCCCTGGGGGTGAGGGAAGGAAGAAAGGGAGTAATCCGGTAAACAATCAGGTAGATCTGCAGCGCTGCCCTGCCGCCCCTAGCCAGTGAGCGGTACAGCGACTGGAAGAACGCCCTGGGGGTGAGGGAAGGAAGAAAGGGAGTAATCCGGTAAACAATCAGGTAGATCTGCAGCGCTGCCCTGCCGCCCCTAGCCAGTGAGCGGTAAAGCGACTGGAAGAACGCCCTGGGGGTGAGGGAAGGAAGAAAGGGAATAATCCGGTTAACAATCAGGTAGATCTGCAGCACTGCCCTGCCGCCCCTAGCCAGTGAGCGGTACAGCGACTGGAAGAAGGCCCTGGGGGTGAGGGAAGGAAGAAAGGGAGTAATCCGGTTAACAATCAGGTAGATCTGCAGCGCTGCCCTGCCGCCCCTAGCCAGTGAGCGGTACAGCGACTGGAAGAACGCCCTGGGGGTGAGGGAAGGAAGAAAGGGAGTAATCCGGTTAACAATCAGGTAGATCTGCAGCGCTGCCCTGCCGCCCCTAGCCAGTGAGCGGTACAGCGACTGGAAGAACGCCCTGGGGGTGAGGGAAGGAAGAAAGGGAATAATCCGGTTAACAATCAGGTAGATCTGCAGCACTGCCCTGCCGCCCCTAGCCAGTGAGCGGTACAGCGACTGGAAGAACGCCCTGGGGGTGAGGGAAGGAAGAAAGGGAGTAATCCGGTTAACAATCAGGTAGATCTGCAGCGCTGCCCTGCCGCCCCTAGCCAGTGAGCGGTACAGCGACTGGAAGAACGCCCTGGGGGTGAGGGAAGGAAGAAAGGGAGTAAATCAGGTAGATCTGCAGCGCTGCCCTGCCGCCCCTAGCCAGTGAGCGGTAAAGCGACTGGAAGAACGCCCTGGGGGTGAGGGAAGGAAGAAAGGGAATAATCCGGTTAACAATCAGGTAGATCTGCAGCGCTGCCCTGCCGCCCCTAGCCAGTGAGCGGTACAGCGACTGGAAGAACGCCCTGGGGGTGAGGGAAGGAAGAAAGGGAGTAATCCGGTTAACAATCAGGTAGATCTGCAGCGCTGCCCTGCCGCCCGTAAACAGTGAGCGGTACAGCGACTGGAAGAACGCCCTGGGGGTGAGGGAAGGAAGAAAGGGAATAATCCGGTTAACAATCAGGTAGATCTGCAGCACTGCCCTGCCGCCCCTAGCCAGTGAGCGGTACAGCGACTGGAAGAACGCCCTGGGGGTGAGGGAAGGAAGAAAGGGAGTAATCCGGTTAACAATCAGGTAGATCTGCAGCGCTGCCCTGCCGCCCCTAGCCAGTGAGCGGTACAGCGACTAGAAGAACGCCCTGGGGGTGAGGGAAGGAAGAAAGGGAGTAATCCGGTTAACAATCAGGTAGATCTGCAGCGCTGCCCTGCCGCCCCTAGCCAGTGAGCGGTACAGCGACTGGAAGAACGCCCTGGGCAAGAGGGGGGGCAGGGGTGGTGGTGGAAGTGGGGGTAGGGTAAGGGAGTAGTGGGGAGGAGGAAAAGTACATCTGCAGTGCGGCCCTGCCTCCCCTAGCGCGGCCCTGCCTCCCCTCCAGTGAGCGGCACAGGGACTGGAAGAACGGCTTGGGAAAGGGAAAGAGGTGGGGAGGAGGGTTGAGAGGGAGGAACGGTGGCTTGGTGAGGGTGGTGGGCATTGGGGTGGATCTGCAGCGCCGCCCTGCCTCCCCTCCAGTGAGCGGCACAGGGACTGGAAGGACGGCTTGGGAAAGGGAAAGAGGTGGGGAGGAGGGGGGTGAGAGGGAGGATCGGTGGGTTAGTGAGGGAGGTGGGCATTGGGGTAGATTTGCAGCGCTGCCATCCCTCCCCTAGCCAGCGAGCGGTACAGCGACTGGAAGAACGGCTTGGGAGAGGGGGGAAGGAGGGGAGGAGTGGTGGGGGGGAGGAAAAAGGGGCAGTTTTCAAGGGAGGTGAGGCTAGTGAGGAAGTAGGTCTGCGCTGCCGTCCTCCATGGGCAAGCAAAGGTAGAGTGAGGGTAATGGGGGAGGGAGTAGGGGGAAAGGACGGCGGTGAGTGAAACAAGGGAGGTGAGGTTGGTGAACAGTCAGGTGGTGCTGTTGAGAAGCAGCCACCCGAGTGGCGCTCCCTTTCAGTGAGCAATGAAAGCAGGGAGCAGGGAGCAGGGAGCAGAGAAAGCAGTGAGCAGGGAGTAGGGAGCAGGGAGCAGGGAGCAGGGAGCAGGGAGCAGGGAGCAGGGGCACTCACTTGAGGCGCAGGCGCGGATTGTGTGAGGACTTGTCGGCATTGCACAGCCACTGGGGCACAGGGGCGCAGGGAGAGAGGTGGGAGGTGGGGAGAGGGGAGAGCTGCTGCTGACGTCATCCATGCAGAGCTGAAATGCTGATGACGTGATACCAGCATTGCTGACGTGATGATGATCGTCATACCTGCACTCTTGACATGCCTATGACGTGATACCTGCACTGCTGACATGCTAATGACGTCATACATGCTTTGCTGAGATGCTGATGACGTCATACTTGCACTGCTGAGATGCTGATGACGTCATACCTGCACTGCTGAAATGCTGATGGCCCCGTCAAAAACAGCGTTGCGCAACGGAAGGCCCTGCAGGGGGGGCGATGGGGAAGGGGAAAAGGGGGAGATGGGGAAGGGGAAGGGGGGAGATGGGGAAGGGGAAGGGGGGAGATGGGGAAGGGGAAGGGGGGAGATGGGGAAGGGGAAGGGGGGAGATGGGGAAGGGGAAGGGGGGAGATGGGAAAGGGGTAAGGGAGAGAGCAGTAGGGAGGAGAGACAGAGGGGAGTCCATATTATCGTTTCAGTGGGGAAGGGTAGGGACAAGGGAAAGGGGAAGAGGGAGAAGGGTGGGGAGGAGAGACAGTGGAGAGTCAATATCATAGGTTACATGGGAGAGGGTAGGGACAAGGGACGGGGAAATGGGGGAAGGGTGGAGAGGAAAGTCTGAGGGGATTGAAGGTTAAAGATTCACGTTGAAAGGGCGGAGACAAACAGGCGAGGAGAGGAAGATAGTGGGAGAGAAAGAGGGGGTGGGGAGAAGAGGGAGAAGGCATTGGTGAGAACAAGAACTTGTTATTCGGCAGAGAAGGTTAAAGCTAGAATGAGTGAGGCTGGCAAGATAGGCAGCCCTGAGAGAGGCCTCGTGTGTTGGTGGGGATGCTCGCACGATGATCCCCACTCATGTGTTGGTGGGGATGCTAGCACGATGATCCCCACTCATGTGTTGGTGGGGATGCTAGCACGATGATCCCCACTCATGTGTTGGTGGGGATGCTAGCACGATGATCCCCACTCATTCCTGCCCCGTGCCCCACATGCCCCACACTCCGCCTGCCCCAAATAACACCTTCCCCACATCTCACCTGCCCGACATCTCACCTGCCCCATATCTTACCTGCCCCACATCTCACCTGCCCCACATCCCACCTGCCCCACATCGCACCTGCCCCACATCTCACCTGCCCCACATCGCACCTGCCCCACATCTCACCTGCCCCACATCGCACCTGCCCCACATCTCACCTGCCCCACATCTCACCTGCCCCACATCCCACCTGCCCCACATCCCACCTGCCCCACATCCCACCTGCCCCACATCTCACCTGCCCCACATCTCACCTGCCCCACATCTCACCTGCCCCACATCTCACCTGCCCCACATCTCACCTGCCCCACATCTCACCTGCCCCACATCTCACCTGCCCCATGTCGGAGAGCATGAGATCACCATCCACTGCCCGCTCTGCTGCCACGTCTGCACGTGCACGCATGGAAGGGGTTTGGCGCAGGGGTTGGGAGGCACAAGCACGGGGGGAGGGAGGCACAAGCACGGGGGGAGGGAGGCATGGGTGGGGAGAGCATGAGATCGCCATCCACTGCCCGCTCTGCTGCCACGTCTACACATGCATTGGCCATGGACGCATGGGTTTTGGGCCAGGGGTGATGGATGGATAAGTTCAGGGACATAAATATAAATGCATATAGGGACATAAGTTTGAATGCATGGACTAAGTTAGGGACGTAAGTTTCGATGCACGGGTTTAGGAACATGGGTTAATGGACGCCCAGTTGAGCCCAACCCAACCCAGCAGCAACGGCCTCCCTCAATGATAGCACCCAGTTTTTCCCATCTCCTCCCAGTCTATCTGCCCATCTCCTCCCAGTCTATCCGCCCATCCTCACTCCACCTCCTCCTGCCTAATCTCCCCCTTCTCCACTCCCGCCAAGCCCCCATGCCCCCCGCGCACCCAGCATGGAGGGCGACATGGCCAGCCCCTAGCAGCTTCAACGTTTCCTCCCCTCCTCCTCCCCCCTGCACCCCACCCCTCCCCCCGCCCTTTCCCCCCTCACCGCGTACCCAGCATGGAGGGCCAGATGTCCACACCCAGCTTTAGGGTTTTGGCCCCCACCACACCTCCACGCCCGTCCCCTCCTTCCTCCCCTTCCCCCCCTTTCCCCCGCGCAATCAGCATGGAGGACGATATGCCCACACCCAGCTTTAGGGCTTAGCGACCCACCCCTCATAAACCCTCTCCCCCACTCCCCCCTCCCCCCTCCCCATCTCCCTCATCCCCCCGCGCACCCAGCATGGCGGGCGAGATGTCCAGCCCCACCCAGTGGTGCCCTGCCTCAGATAACGCCTCCCCGCTCAGCCCCGAGCCGCAACCTGGGGGGGCGGGGAAGCGAGCAGGGGATGGGGGAAAGCGAGCAGGGGATGGGGGAAAGCGAGTAGGGGATGGGGGAAAGCGAGCAGGGGATGGGGGAAAGCGAGCAGGGGATGGGGGAAAGCGAGCAGGGGATGGGGGAAAGCGAGCAGGGGATGGGGGGAAAGCGAGCAGGGGATGGGGGAAAGTGAGCGGGGGATGGGGGAAAGCGAGCAGGGGATGGGGGAAAGCGAGCAGGGGATGGGGGAAAGTGAGCAGGGGATGGGGGAAAGCGAGCAGGGGATGGGGGAAAGCGAGCAGGGGATGGGGGAAAGTGAGCGGGGGATGGGGGAAAGCGAGCAGGGGATGGGGGAAAGCGAGCAGGGGATGGGGGAAAGCGAGCAGGGGATGGGGGGAAAGCGAGCAGGGGATGGGGGGAAAGCGAGCAGGGGATGGGGGAAAGCGAGCAGGGGATGGGGGAAAGCGAGCAGGGGATGGGGGGAAAGCGAGCAGGGGATGGGGGAAAGTGAGCAGGGGATGGGGAATGGGGGAATAAGCCCCACCCAGTTGTTCCCTTCCTCAGATAACGCCTCCCCGCTCACCCGCGAGCCACAACCTAGAGGGGGGGAGGGATACGGGAAGAAAGTATGGGGGGATTGGGGGTTGGTGGGTGGAGTGGAGGTATGGGGGAACGCGAGCGGAGGACGGGGGAGATTAATTGGGACAGCAAGGGGACCACAGAGCGAGTGGAACTAACCGCGACTCGCGATGGCGACAAAATACCCTTGCCAATTATCGTTTCGTTCCCCTGCCTAACCCCTGTCAAAACCCCTCGCCACCCGCCCCTCGAAACCCTGCCCTTTCCTATCCCCCCCAAATCCCGCGCTGGCACTTCTCCCCCTTTTCTTCCTCCTCCCACGCCCCTTTTCCCTTTTCCCTCCTTCCCCTCTTCCCCCTTGTCCCCCGCTGCCCTCCTCTTCCTCCTCCCCGCTTCCCCCTTCCCTCCCCCTTTTCGACGCACCAATTGTCCACCAGGAGCGGCGGAGTGGTGGAAAACCCCAACGTTCAAACGCTTTCCCCACCCTCTCCAACCCCCCCACCCCCCTCCCCCCTTCTTCCCCCCCTCTTCGGCGCACCAATGTCCAGCAGGAGCCGCGGAGTGCCGTCATCGGGAAGCGCGAGTAGCTCGACTGCTCGCTCCGTGAGTTTCGCCTGTCACATTCGCGCGCGGAATTCGTGGGGAACGGCGAAACAGGGTGCATGGGGTGAATGGGGGTTACGGGCTTTGGAGAGGGTTTTGCTACCATCGTCATGGGACTGTCCGTAACTAGCGCGAGGCCTTATGTGAGGGGTGTAAGTTGTGAGTGTAACGAAAATGATGCGATCTAAAGCGCAGCAAAGGCGGCTGCTGACTCTTCCCAAAAACTAACGTTATAACGCGTATACGACGCGACTTCGACGGAGCAGGCCAATCGAGAGATCTATGCAACAAAAAACGCGACAGGCTGTCTGTCTACGTGGCTAAACGTTATTCGCCTGCCCTGTCCCATGCCGTAACTCGGACCCCAACGAGTCATGACGTGGATTCCCGCCGATGCAAAGACGCTAGATAGGGACCGCACATGCCTGAATCTCGATCATGCGCGACGACGTGGTGTACTTGCGCGCCTCGGCGTCATTGTAGAACACCTCGGGGGGAGCTAGCTGTTCCGGTCGACTCGCCATCTTGCAAATGTGCAAAACTGTGACGAAGATGGCTTGGGACAGATTATGTTAAAGTTATCAATAAAATTTATTACGTCGTCATTCGATGGGGGTGTAGCTCACATGGTAGAGCGATCGCTTCGCATGCGATAGGTAAGGGGATCGATACCCCTCACCTCCACGGACACTCCGAGGGCCTGATCCTTTTAGCGCGCCGCTCTTTATTGTTCAGAGCTAGCTGATAAGTTGGACAAGATGGGCGTGTGTCATCGGGGTCGACTACAAAGTTCGACCTTTGAGAGGTTGTACGCGGTAACATACAGTTGAGAGACGTGTCGCCCCGGTGCAAAGCGGTTGAAGGACTATTTTCACCAAAGGACGCACACTCCAAGGGCGCGGAAAATTGCTGGATCTTCCAATTTTGCCACATGGCCGCTACGAGTCGCGACCTAATGTTCACCGCATTCGCCAGTTTCGGCCATGGAAGATGTGTCTGGGGGCCGAATGGCACGAACGACACCAGAGGCTATGAAGCAAGTCTATTTAGGATGAAGCAAGTCTATTTAGGATGAAGCAAGTCTATTTAGGATGAACCAACTTAGACCAACCAGTTTTCCTTAGTGACCTGGCTCGGGATGGAATCCTGGTAGTAGAAGGTACGCACAGCGGGTCGCGTATCGCTTTTACTTCCCTCATCCCCATCATGCCTCGATATCGTCCCGTCCTCTTCTCCCTCGCACTGCTGCTCATCTCCGTCTCTGTCACCCTCCCCTTCCTCACCTTCCGCCTGCCGCCTCTCCATCTCCCCGCCCTCGCTCGCCGCGACCTTCGCCGCTTCTTCCGCTCGCCTTTTATTTCCCACCAGCAGCAGCAGCAGCAGCAGCCTTTCGATTCTCGTTCACCTGAGCGTGTCGAACTTGAGAAGCCGTTTGAGGCTCGGCAAACCGAGCCTGTTAGAACCGAGCCGCCTTCGCACAGAGCCGTCGATCTGGTGAGCGATTCCGGACCAGGAAACGGCCGGCTCACGGCTAGCTCCGACCCTGGCGGGGATCGCGGCGATCTTTACGGGAACGCGCAACTGCTGGGAGAGCCGGGATGTGCGAAGCTTCGGAGAAGGTTCCAGGAATTGCAACAGGCGATGAGCAACCTTCAGGTCCGAGCTTTACTGCCAAAGGGCTTGGTCTCCTAGCAACATTCTGTGCATTAAAACTTTTCCGTTTCTCGCGGCTCGTAGCATTGCTCGTCTCGTGTCGTGTCGTCGGTCAACAGAGCATGGAGCGTTCGCTCGTCCCTTTCCGTTCGCTCGTCCCTTTCCGTTCGCTCGTCCCTTTCCGTTCGCTCGTCCCTTTCCGTTCGCTCGTCCCTTTCCGTTCGCTCGTCCCTTTCCGTTCGCTCGTCCCTTTCCGTTCGCTCGTCCCTTTCCGTTCGCTCGTCCCTTTCCGTTCGCTCGTCCCTTTCCGTTCGCTCGTCCCTTTCCGTTCGCTCGTCCCTTTCCGTTCGCTCGTCCCTTTCCGTTCGCTCGTCCCTTTCCGTTCGCTCGTCCCTTTCCGTTCGCTCGTCCCTTTCCGTTCGCTCGTCCCTTTCCGTTCGCTCGTCCCTTTCCGTTCGCTCGTCCCTTTCCGTTCGCTCGTCCCTTTCCGTTCGCTCGTCCCTTTCCGTTCGCTCGTCCCTTTCCGTTTCGCTCGTCCCTTTCCGTTCGCTCGTCCCTTTCCGTTCGCTCGTCCCTTTCCGTTCGCTCGTCCCTTTCCGTTCGCTCGTCCCTTTCCGTTCGCTCGTCCCTTTCCGTTCGCTCGTCCCTTTCCGTTCGCTCGTCCCTTTCCGTTCGCTCGTCCCTTTCCGTTCGCTCGTCCCTTTCCGTTCGCTCGTCCCTTTCCGTTCGCTCGTCCCTTTCCGTTCGCTCGGTCCCTTTCCGTTCGCATCGTCCCTTTCCGTCGCTCGTCCCTTTCCGTTCGCTCGTCCCTTTCCGTTCGCTCGTCCCTTTCCGTTCGCTCGTCCCTTTCCGTTCGCTCGTCCCTTTCCGTTCGCTCGTCCCTTTCCGTTCGCTCGTCCCTTTCCGTTCGCTCGTCCCTTTCCGTTCGCTCGTCCCTTTCCGTTCGCTCGTCCCTTTCCGTTCGCTCGTCCCTTTCCGTTCGCTCGTCCCTTTCCGTTCGCTCGTCCCTTTCCGTTCGCATCGTCCCTTTCCGTATCGCTCGTCCCTTTCCGTTCGCTTCGTCCCTTTCCCCTTTCGCTCGTCCCTTTCCGTTCGCTCGTCCCTTTCCGTTCGCTCGTCCCTTTCCGTTCGCTCGTCCCTTTCCGTTCGCTCGTCCCTTTCCGTTCGCTCGTCCCTTTCCGTTCGCTCGTCCCTTTCCGTTCGCTCGTCCCTTTCCGTTCGCTCGTCCCTTTCCGTTCGCTCGTCCCTTTCCGTTCGCTCGTCCCTTTCCGTTCGCTCGTCCCTTTCCGTTCGCTCGTCCCTTTCCGTTCCGTTGGTATTCCACACCAACACGCGTAGCCGTTATACACCCAGTCAAGAGGTTGCACGTCTCACGAGTTTGCTGCTCTATCCCGTCTCACGCGTTCCCTTCCATTCCATGTTTTCCTCTTTTTTCCGCATGTTCCCTCTTCACAAGTCAGGCGAAATATTCGCAGCTGGTTCGGCAGCATACAGCCCTCACATTGGCCCATTCAGCCCTCCTGTTCCAAGCCGAGCAGCAGCAACGCACCATTGGTTCACTGCAAACCCAATCAGAAAATGCCAGCTTGGCGATCAACCCTGTGATGTCCACCGGTTCACCTCAAAGAGCACATGATATGCATGAAGCAACGCCGAGCCGTGCGAGTGCTTCTGAGGCACACTCTTATAACGAACGTTCTACTAACGGGTCTGCCGAAGGCCCTGAAGCTGCCAGGGGAGTTTCCAGCACAGATGCAAGCAGCTCAGTCTCAGGGGCGCCAGAGTTGCCTGCCGAACCAAAATCTGACGATTCCGAAGCTGCGAGTTCAGGCTCGGTTGCAGGTGCGGAGGGTGAGTGCGAGAGTGCGCTGATGGCGTGCCAGCAGCAGCAGGAGCTGATGAAACTGGCCGGGGGAGGTGGGGAGGGAGGCGAGGGCGGCGAGGGGGGAGTGGGAGACATGGTGCAGGAGCTGGCAGCGGGCATGAAGAGCCTCGACGCGTCCTTCCGCCTCGCGCTGGTGAGTGCAAGGGGGGGGGCAGTGCGATGGGGGCGGTGTGATGGGGGCAGTGTGATGGGGGCAGTGTGATGGGGGCAGTGTGATGGGGGCAGTGTGATGTGGGCGGTGTGATGGGGGCAGTGTGATGGGGGCAGTGTGATGGGGGCAGTGCGATGGGGGCGGTGTGATGGGGGCAGTGTGATGGGGGCAGTGTGATGGGGGCAGTGTGATGGGGGCAGTGTGATGGGGGCAGTGTGATGGGGGCAGTGTGATGGGGGCAGTGTGATGGGGGCAGTGTGATGGGGGCGGTGTGATGGGGGCGGTGTGATGGGGGCAGTGTGATGGGGGCAGTGTGATGGGGGCAGTGCGATGGGGGCAGTGTGATGGGGGCAGTGTGATGGGGGCAGTGTGATGGGGGCGGTGTGATGGGGGCAGTGTGATGGGGGCAGTGTGATGGGGGCAGTGTGATGGGGGCAGTGTGATGGGGGCAGTGTGATGGGGGCCGTGTGATGGGGGCAGTGTGATGGGGGCAGTGTGATGGGGGCGGTGTGATGGGGGCGGTGTGAGGGGGCGGTGTGATGGGGGCGGTGTGATGGGGGCGGTGTGATGGGGGCGGTGGGATGGCGGGTGGCAGCAACAGATATAGGCATCTACGGGTTGAGGTCGATTGAATGCAGTGGGGGGGCAGCATGCATGACGGGCCTGGAGCCATCGTTCCGTCTGCCTGCCTGCCAAGCAATAGTTAGTGGACAGACGTGGACAGTGGCACGCGTGCAGGTGCACACTTTGAAGCCTGGGGTGTAAAATGCTAAGGAACGGTTGAGTGGGGTGGAGAGGAGCGGGGTTGGAACGGGTGCAGTGCACAATGAGCAGGGAGCCTGCAGCAGCCGCACCGGCTGGTGGCTGTGAAGGGAATCGGGAGAAAGGGTGGGGGGGGTTGCGCAGTGCTGGAGGGGGGTTGAGCCCTTGACTATAGAAGTGGGTGAAGGGCTGGAGTTGACTGCGGGCGGGACCTCCCTCTTCTTGAACCCAGTCGGAGAACTATTGTTGAGTCCACATGGAGAACTATTGTTGAGTCCACATGGAGAACTATTGTTGAGTCCACATGGAGAACTATTGTTGAGTCCACATGGAGAACTATTGTTGAGTCCACATGGAGAACTATTGTTGAGTCCACATGGAGAACTATTGTTGAGTCCACATGGAGAACTATTGTTGAGTCCACATGGAGAACTATTGTTGAGTCCACATGGAGAACCGCTCACCCTCTTTTTGCATCTCTCTGTGCTGTGATGTTGTCACCTTCGTTCGCGCATCTGTGTGCGTGTAAGCTCAGGTGATTATATGTGTGTGCGCTCATGTGAATGTATGCATGTGAATGAACAGTGGAAGGAGGAGCATTGTCAGGCCAATCAGAGCGCGCTGAGGTGGACCAATCAGATGCTCCGGCATGATGTCACACACCTGAAGGCACAGCTGGCTGCGTGTGACAAGAGTGGGTGTTTGCACCTGAAGAAACACCTGAGAAAGCACCTGGAGCAGCAGTCAGGCGTTATTGTAAACAATTCTGAAGCGCTAGATAGGAGAGTGGTGATGGGAAGCAGTGAGGAAGAGGAGGGAGGGAGCAGTAGCACAGGCAGGGGGACAAGGCAGGATGAGAGAAGGGACAAAAGTAGGAGTGCGGGCGAGAGAGGGGGAGAGGATGGCAGGCAGAGTAAGGGGCTGGAGGGGGAGGAAAGGGCGGATGGCGTGAGTGAGGATGCGTATGGGGGCAGGAGAGGCGGTAAGGACGCGGGGTGGGGAGGTGGGGAAGATGAGGAGGGAAGTGGCGGTGAGGATGATGAGGGCAGGAGTGGTGGCATGTGTGAGAGTGCGCGTGCGCTGATGGCGCTGTGGGAGGCCGCCCCCTCCCTGGGGCTGCGGGATGTGCGCTCTGCTGCTGTGCAGCATGCTCTCACACAGCTCAGACGCGCTGTGGTGGCACAGGGGGGAGAACCGGTGGGGGAAGTGGGGACTGCACAAGGGGAGGAGGGGGAGGGTAAGGAGATGAGCGTGGGAGTGCAGCAAGCAAAGAGACAAGCAGATGCTTTGGGTGGGGCAGGAGGGAGTGTGGGAGGGGCAGGAGGGAGTGTGGAAGGGGCAGGGGAGGAGGCGTGGTTGAGTGAGGAGGAGGAGCAGCGGCTGGTGCCTGCCGCACCCCATGTGGACCACTGTGCCTCTCTCGCCACTGATATCAGGTCCGTTCTTGTGTGCATGGGCGCATGTGATTATATGCGTGTGGGTGTGTGATGTGTGAAAGTGCATGTATCGATGGGTGGGTGTGCACATGGCATCATGACATGCTTGGGGAGAGCCGTCATTCCCCACCTGCCGCCTTTTTCGTTTTCTGTGCATTTCTTGTTGTGCAAGGGCGTGGAAGGCACTACGCTCAGCAGATTGAGCCATGCCACCTCACCTCACCTCGCCCGCTTCACCTCCCTTCTCTCTCTGCCTCCGCCACTTGTCTCTCTGCCTCCGCCACTTGTCTCTCTGCCTCCGCCACTTGTCTCTCTGCCTCCGCCACTTGTCTCTCTGCCTCCGCCACTTGTCTCTCAGCCTCCGCCACTTGTCTCTCTGCCTCCGCCACTTGTCTCTCTGCCTCCGCCACTTGTCTCTCTGCCTCCGCCACTTGTCTCTCTGCCTCCGCCACTTGTCTCTCTGCCTCCGCCACTTGTCTCTCTGCCTCCGCCACTTGTCTCTCTGCCTCCGCCACTTGTCTCTCTGCCTCCGCCACTTGTCTCTCAGCCTCCGCCACTTGTCTCTCTGCCTCCGCCACTTGTCTCTCTGCCTCCGCCACTTGTCTCTCTGCCTCCGCCACTTGTCTCTCTGCCTCCGCCACTTGTCTCTCTGCCTCCGCCACTTGTCTCTCTGCCTCCGCCACTTGTTTCACTTTCACCGACGGGCCGCCATTCGTCTCTCTCCCTTCTTTTCAGCCGCCTCACAACTTGAGAACTAAAGCTCGCTCCATTCTCTCTTCTCCTCCAACTCCCCTTTGCAGCCTTCTGGATTCGCGGTCTGCTGACGGGGAGCTTCCGGATTGGTCGCTTTGGGGCGGCAGGTTGGGACTGGTGGCACGGCGGTTGGAGGAGCGGGAGAGGGAGAAGGTGAGGAGGGAGAGAGTAAGGGAACGAGAGGGGCGTGTAGACAAGGAAACAGAGGAAGCGGGAGGCGGAGAGCGGAGGGGAGAATTCAAGGGAGAGGAAGAGGAAGAGGGAAGGAAGAAGAAGGAAGGTGCGGCGGTTGTAGCGGAGGCGGAGAGGCAGTTGGAGCAGGAGGAGCAGGCGCGGGCAGTGCAGCACGAGGCGATGCGGCTACAGGCACAGGAGAGGATGCAGGAGAGGCAAGGGGCGAGCGAGGAGCAGGCGGAGGTGGCGGCGTGGATGGCAGCAGCACGGGATGAGCAGCCCATGGGGGACCACACAGGGGCTGTCCTGGGGCCCTACCCCCCGTGGGTGAGTGCGTGTTGTCATGTCAGGTCGTTGTGTGTAGCCTTGAATAGACTTACAAATAGCTTTCCAGTTGTGTGAAAGGCAGCACAGGATGAGCAGTTCATGGGAGACCACAGACGGGATGTCCTGGGTCCGTACCCCCCCCCGCCTGAGTGCGGGCGGTTCAGGACTCTTTTGACAATGCTCAGCAGCTACTCACATTTAGCCGTAGCTGAGTGCGTGCTCTCAGGTCGCTTGTGTGTAGCGGCTTGGATCTGTGCTGCTGCTGATGCTTTTGTGTAGCCGATTCTAGTCAATATATATCTCAGGCACCACACCACCTACAGCAAGGTCGATTGCGACTCTAGTGCAGGGGGGCATGTTTCTCGTGCATGAGAAGAGAAGAGAGTGATCCGCCTTGCCGTTCTAGGAGCATGGTAGCTGCACAAGCAAGCACAGCAACGCAAGGATAGCCGACGAGGATAACCCCCTCTGCCTGCACGCCCCACCCTGTACACCCCGGGTATCAGGCGCGGACGAGGACAATGTGCCCATGACACGGCGCGCCCAGAGGGACATCTGGTTTCTCCAGCACCCGCGGGACTGCAGCAGCTTGATTCATCTCCCTCTGCTATGCACTCCCCTCCCCCTGTATCCCCTCTACAACCCAACCCAGGTATCAGGAGTGGACGAGGACAATCTCCCCATGACGAGGCGGGCTCAAAGGGACGTGTGGCTGCACCAGCACCCGCGGGACTGCAACAGTTTGATTCATCTCCCTCTGCTATACACGCCCCGCCCCCTGTATCCCCTGTTTCCCCCAGGTATCAGGAGCGGACGAGGACAATCTCCCCATGACGCGGCGGGCTCAGAGGGACGTGTGGGTGCTGCAGCACCCGCGGGACTGCAGCAGCTCAATTCATCCTCTTCTGCCCCACCTTGTACCCCCCAGGTGTCAGGAGCAGACGAGGACAATCTGCCCATGACGCGGCGGGCTCAGAGGGACGTGTGGGTGCTGCAGCACCCGCGCAACTGCTCGCACCCGTCTGTCAAGTTCCTGGTCGTAGACGTGCTCAGGAGGGTCCGCGGAAGCTTCCTGGGCGTGGGGGCGCAGGTGAACTGGCTGGCGGGCGTGCTGGGCACGGCTGTGGTGGAGGGGCGCGTGCTGGTGGTGCGCCACTACCATAGGGCGGCGCACCATGGGTGCCATGGTGGGTTGCAGTAACCAAGGGAGGGAGGAGAGTGTAAGAAAAGGGATGGGCGGTGGAGGGGCGTGTGCGTGCTGGTGACGCAACAGTATCAGAGGGCTCCGCACGATGGGTGCCATGGTGGGTGGGTGACTGTAGTGGAGCGTGAATATTGTGAGGTAGGGACGGGAGTAGATGAGGCATTGGTGGTGGAGGGGCGTGTGCTGGTGATCAGACACTGCCACAGGGTGGCACATGATGGGTGCCATGGTGGGTGGGTGGGTGGGTGGGTGGGTGCCATGGTGGGTGGGTGGGTGGGTGGGTGGGTGGGTGGGTGGGTGGGTGGGTGGGTGGGTGGGTGGGTGGGTGGGTGGGTGCCATGGTGGGTGGGTGGGTGGGTGGGTGGGTCACAGTGGTGGAAGGGAGGGTGACAGTGGTGCGAGAGAGGTGTGGATGTTGGGGGGCCGCGTGCCGGTGGTGCGGCACTCATCATGCACTTCTAAAAGGAGGAGCATGGTGGGTGCTGTGCCATGGTGGGTGACAATAGTGAGGGGCGAGTATAAGGTGGGAGGGAGGATGAGTATTGTGAGGGAAGGGTGGGTGGTGATGGTGATGGTGATGGAGGGCGTGTGCTGGTGCTCTCAAACGAAGGAAACGGATAGAAAGCTGCAAGCTCGGTTCGACCGACCTAACTAATCCGAGTAGAAAAATTCACTGAGTACTAGGCGAGAACACGTGTAGGTAAGCGTAGTAGTATTAAAAGGCAGATTACAAGTGGTTCAGAAAACGTACGCGCGTTTCGGCTTTGTGGGCCTTCATCGGCGTTTCCGAATCCTACTAAACTTGCCCGCTACCTAGCAACCACTACTTATACCTAGCAGTTCCGTGTCTCGTAAGAAACCTAGTACAAAGATTCAGACATTGCACACAACATTGCTTGGCGCCTCGTCTGTCTTGATGGGTCGCGCTTCGTCCGTCTTGATGGGTCGCGCTTCCAAACAGTAAAGCTGGCAAGTAGGTTCCGTCTTGTCATGCAGCGGGTACCCACCTGGCAGAGAAATTGAATCACATTGCTACCTTGAGGAGAATCTCGCTTTAACCAAAAAGTTCTGTAACTTTTTTGGTAACTTCCAAGCGAGTAAAAAACGAGGAAATGGGAGATCATATGATACGAGCTGGTTTTTGAGAATTCTCAAAAACTGCCCCATGCCCATGCCCAACGTGCGTGGGCAGCGTCTGATTTTAAGAGCAAGGGGCGCTCCCATCCTCTCCAACTGCTTGTTTTTTGAACAAGAGTGGTTTCTGAGAAGACTATGCTAGAGGGCGTGTGCTGGTGATGCGACTATGCTAGAGGGCGTGTGCTGGTGATGCGACTATGCTAGAGGGCGTGTGCTGGTGATGCGACTATGCTAGAGGGCGTGTGCTGGTGATGCGACTATGCTAGAGGGCGTGTGCTGGTGATGCGACTATGCTAGAGGGCGTGTGCTGGTGATGCGACTATGCTAGAGGGCGTGTGCTGGTGATGCGACTATGCTAGAGGGCGTGTGCTGGTGATGCGACTATGCTAGAGGGCGTGTGCTGGTGATGCGACTATGCTAGAGGGCGTGTGCTGGTGATGCGACTATGCTAGAGGGCGTGTGCTGGTGATGCGACTATGCTAGAGGGCGTGTGCTGGTGATGCGACTATGCTAGAGGGCGTGTGCTGGTGATGCGACTATGCTAGAGGGCGTGTGCTGGTGATGCGACTATGCTAGAGGGCGTGTGCTGGTGATGCGACTATGCTAGAGGGCGTGTGCTGGTGATGCGACTATGCTAGAGGGCGTGTGCTGGTGATGCGACTATGCTAGAGGGCAGTGCATGATGGGTGATTCACAGCGGTGCGAGGGAGGGTGAGAGTGGTGGGAGGGAGTGGGTGGACGGGGTGTGCTGTGCAGGTGATGCGACAATGCCATAGGGTAGTGCATGGTGGTGGGTGCCAAGGTGGGTGGGTGGCCAGGATGGCAGGGAGGGTGAGAGTGGTGTGTGCAAGGGAGGGATGTATGGTGGAAGGCAGCGAGGTGTTATTGTGGGTGGGTGACAATCGTGAATGGAGGATGATAGTAGTAAAGGGTGGGTGACAGTATCTCAAGTTTGCTGACATGATTGTACACTCTTATGGCTTCCGTCCCCCAATGTGAACCTCCCTCCCTCGCATTCTCACTTCGCTTCGCTTCCTATCCTCACACCCCACTTCCTCCCCCATCTCCATCGCCCAATAGCGTGTCAACAGGTGTGCATCGAGGTCGCTGGTCGTGCTACTTCGTGCCCGAGACCTCCTCTGACTGCCGCCAGCACGCCCTGCGCCTGCTGCACTCCTCCCGCCTCACCCACGCCTCCCCCAGCAATGCCTCCCCCAGCAATGGTAGTGACGGTGGTACTGCTGCTACGGGTACTGGAGATGACAACAGTGGGAGCGAGAATAGGGGGGATGAGGGCAGTGGGGAGGAGTGGAGCAGGAGGAGGGTGACAGTATGGGAGGAGTATCTGGAGCGCAACGTCACCAACTTCTTCACCATTCAATATCCCACGTGAGCGCGCTCTTGCTGCTCATGTGCTGATTGAGACGTCTTAAAGAGAGTATCTGGATCGCAACATGACCAACTTGATCTACGTGCGCGCACTCTTGCTGCGCGTGTGATGACTCGTATACCACTGACCATGCACACCACCATCCTGCTTCTGACCGACCATGCATGCAACCGTCGTGCACTTGTCACCCGCGAAAACTGCACTTTTCATGCACTGTTTTATGCACGCCTTTTTGCGGTCCTGATGCGGTTCATCCACAGCTGAGCAGGAGTGTGCTGCAAGCACTAGCACTAGTTAGGAATAGGAATGCAATGTATGGCGGCAGCCAATATTCTCAAGCACAAACACGAACTTGATCTTTCTGCTTGACTCTGCAGCATATGGGGCCGGCCTTGGAAGCACATGCATCCGACGGTGGACGTGCATGGAAGGCTCATCCGATGGACAGCATTCAATCGCCACCGCTGGTGGTTCGCTCAGGTGTGATTTCTGTTTTTTCCGGCATTTTCTACGTGCAAACCTGATTTCTCTTGGGCACGTTATCACATGTTGTAAGGCTGTCGAAGTCTTCACAGCGATTGCTTGCTATCCCTCGTTTGGCATGTGCATGTGCTGCTTTCTGTACTGACCACCTCCATCCTTTGCTGAAGCCTTGTGCTGTTCGGCCACACTTCCCCCGCCTCCGTTACCAGAGGTCCCCACTTGCACAAAGTGCCACTTCTCTGTTCCCCCCTTCTCCTAATCTCCTCCTCTCCTCATATCCTCGCCTCTGCCTCTCCTCCCCTCCTCTCCTCCTCTTCCACTCCTCCCTTCCTCTCCTCTCATCCTCTTCTGAGTCTCCTCTCTCCTCCTCTTTTCTCATCCCCCCAAACCCCCAGGCAACCACCTATCTCATGCGCTACCCCTCCCCTCGTCTCTGCTGGCTCCTCAACCGCGCCCGCCACCGCGCCTTCGGCCCTGCCCTTGCCGCCCGGGCAGCCCGCTTCCTGCCGTCCGATTGGCCGAAAGCCGTCGAGCAGCTGCCCGATCTAACCTCACGAAACGCCCTGGGAAGCGAGGGGAAAATCGAGGAGATCTGGCTGGCTGGGAGTGGGGATGCAGGCGGCACAGGGGCACTGTCAGGAACGGGAGGGTACCGAGCAGCAGGGGGGTATCTGCCAGAGGGGTTGGTGGCGGTGCATGTGCGGCAGGGCGACAAGGCGGGCGAGATGGCGATGGCAGGGGTGGAGGTGTATGTTGCGCTGCTGGGCCGCGTGAGACGCCAGTTCCCCCATGCGGACTCCGTGTGGCTCAGCACTGAGATGCAGGTGCGTGTGTGAGTGTGAGTGGGAGAGAAAAGTGTGAGTGGGTGAGTGGGTGAGTGTGAGTGGGGGAGTGGGAGATTGGGTGAGTGAGTGAGTGTGTGTGTTTGGGTGAGTGTGTGTGTGTGCGAGCATATGAACATGGGTAAGCCTAGAGACGCACATATGCACAGAATCGCAACCCCCCAACCCAACCCCACCCCACCCTACCCCGATGCACCTCTCTCCCTCTCTCCGGTGCTCTTCATGCGTTCATGGCGGCACACCAATCACTCCCCCTATCCCTCCAAGGCTCCACCACACATTCTTCCAACTGTGGGTTTCCCTGGCAGCACCCTATCCCACAAACTCAACTCTCCTATCCAAGAATCCCTTCCTCCCTTCCCGCCGATATTGTTGACTCAAAGACCTTCCCCTCTTCCAACTCAGTCAACCCCTTTTTTTCACCCCTGCCTCCTCTACCCCTCAACCCTTGCCTCCTCCTCCGCCCCCCACAGGCTGTAGTAGACGCCACCAAGCACTACACGCGCTGGCGCTTCCACGCCACCGACTTCCCACGACAGGCTGCAGGCGAGTCCATGGATGCGTACGATGCACGCGTGGGAGAGCAGCGCGCCACCGACAACGCCTACGTGAACCTCCTCGTCTCCGCCGATGCGCCCTTCTTTGTGGGCACCATGGGGTCCACTTGGTCTGTTCTTATTGATAATTTGAGGGTCGCGGGGCGGGGGAAGGCGAGGGTGGGCATGCTGAGTGTGAACAGGGATCGGTACTGGTTTGGGGAGACGTGGGAGGTGTGGAGGGACCTGTACAAGAATATCACGGTGTAGGACGAATTTTAAAGGTTTGCATGCTAGCTTTGCATTGCAAATTATGAGACGTTTTGAGAATATAAGGTTACTCACTAGAGTATGCCCCACTACAGCCTAGAAGCATACAAATGTAATTTGACTTATCCCCATAGGCAAAGTGGGGGATAGCAAACACAACGAACGGTTACAAGATCAGTCAAGCAAGAGAACAAAGCAAAGCAAAGCTCAGGGTGGATCTCAAGATCACCACTCATTCTGAGCACAAGCAAGCGGCCACAAGGCCAGTTCACATGCAGAGTTATAATAGCAAGGCAGTACACTGATCACAACCTAGCAAGAGTAACAAGCAGGTATAAAGATATATATCAGTGTACAACAAGAGCAAGTCAAGCAACCAGCAGGTGAGGCAGAGTGGGCACAGGGCTGACGTTTCAAATTTAGGTACCCTGAGTTCAACCTAAATTTTTTTTTTTAACCCTGAAGGCACATTTTCCAGAAAAACAGCACCCTGATTGCTCAGGGTTGAGAAGTAGTGAACTCTGAATGTTCAGGGTCGAGAACTGAAAATCAGGGTCGTAGTAACGCGCTCTTTCTTTACCGGGGAAAGAAGTCTCACTCTGCATAATCGCAACATCTGCTCGAAATCTGAGAGTCTACGGGGATTTCAGGCAGAATCTGCCTTGACCTAGCGAATCGAATCTGTGTCAGAGCACAATTATTTGTCAGAATCCCAACCACTAGACCATTGGGATAAAAGGGCTTGTTTGTGTAGCGGGTAAGTGCGCCCATAACCCCCCAGGCCAACGTGCCTGTAACCCTTCCCTAAGATCAATCGGGAATCACCAGTGGACCTCTAACACCCCCCCGCACTGGGATGCCCGAAGTGCACACACTGGGATTCGAACCCGAGACCTTCGCTCTGATAGCATGTCAGAATCCCAACCACTAGACCATTGGGATAAAAGGGCTTGTTTGTGTAGCGGGTAAGTGCGCCCATAACCCCCCAGGCCAACGTGCCTGTAACCCTTCCCTAGGATCAATCGGGGATCACCAGTGGACCTCTGACATTATTTCGACCAATAACAGCAAACTAAATCTGACATTACAGATTCGCCCGATCTCGATGGTGGGTGTATGGGAAAGAAAATTCGACGAAACTTCGTCCCGATAAAGCGAGGGGTGGGGGGTGGGGAGGGGGATTACGCACGTGGGGGGTACTGCGATCAATCCGAAGGCGGGGTTATCAGGAGGAAATTTCCGAGATACTTCGTCCCGATAACATCGCATTCAGGGTCCACATGCCGCGTACTCTGTATTGACAGGGTCCGTGAAAACACTACACTGAGAGTACACAAAAATTCAGGGTCCGCTAAAGCAATACTCTGAATGGATCAGGGACCAAAATGTGAAAAACCTGATTTCTCAGGGACCAGAAAGTGACAAGTCTGAAATCACCCTGAAATCAGGGTAATTACCCTGATAAAATCAGCCCTGCGTGGGCACAAGCCCAAGAGCAGTGCAGAAACGCTGATGATCACCAGACCCAAGGGCCTTGGTGAAGACATCAGCAGTGTTGGCCCGAGAGGCCACGTAAGCAAGGCGCAGCTGACCACGCTGCTGCAGCTCACGCGCAAGAAAGTAGCGAAGAGCAATGTGCTTCGTTCTGTGCTCCAGTCTCTGCTCGCGACACAAGGCAAGCATTGCCTTGTTGTCGACGTACAGAACTGGAGGAGAACGAGGCCGCTCCCCCAAGTCGGTCTGCAGGTAGGTCAGCCAGCGTAGCTCCTGTGCAGCCATGGCCCCTGCGTAGATCTCAGCCTCGTAGCTGGAGCTAAGCACAGAAGAAGAACGAGTGGACCTCCACGAGACAGAACCAGAGCCAAGACTGAAGGTGTAACCCTGTGACGAATGCTGAGTCGCCTGGTCGTCGGCCCGAGAAGCGTCAGAGTGTCCTGTGAGTACCACTGAACCCCGTCCTCCAAGCACGAGCCCCATGCCCGATGTACTGCACAAGTAACGCAGTACCCTCTTCGCAGCATCAAAGTGCACCTTTCGGTGTCTACCGGGTGCCACGTAGCGAGCCAGGAGGCTGAGAGGGTACGCGAGGTCAGGTCGTGTGCACGTCATCAGGTACCTGAGGCAGCCCACAAGCTCTGGGTATGGACCACTCGGCTCTACGGACTCGTCCGAAGGTGGAGCTGAGAGCGAGTGGCCGGTAGACAGAGGAGTGGGCTGTGGCGAGGACCACGTGAAGACGAAGCGCTGAAGGACCTGGTGCACCATGTGTGACTGAGTGAGGGTGATGGTGTGGCGTGCTCTGCCTTGAAGTGGTGTCGGGAGTACCTCGACGCCGGCCACCAGGCGTGGCACTTCATTGAGTCGACCTACCAAGTCACCGACGACTTGTTTATCGCCCAGCTGGAGGGGCAGCTGACGCACCTGCGTATGGGCGACGAGGAGACGGCGACCGACTACTGCAACCGGGCCCGGCGAATTCTCGCCACCATCAGGATGGCCGGCGCGCAGTACTCGACGGCGTCGTACGTCACCCACGTCATGCAGGGACTCTCGAGCAGCTACAACCTCCTGAAGCGGCTGTCGATGGCGCCGAGCACGAGGACGACGCTCAACGAGGACAACTTGACCTCGTACATCCTGCAGGACGAGGCGATGCAGGAGGCAGAGCGGTCCCAGGAGCTCTTGGCACAGGCGCACTTCGTCGCCCCAGCGAAGCAAGGAGGTCGACCGGGGCAGCGCGGGCAGTCCGGCGGCGGTGGTAGCAGTGGCTGGAAGCCGACCAAGGAAGTCGACAAGAGGAAGTCGACCAAGGACAGCGGTCGAGGAGGAGGAGGTCGACGTCGGGAGTGCTGGCTGTGCGGTGACCCCGATCACCTCTCCTTCGAGTGCCCCGACCGCAGTGACTCCGACGACGACGACGCTAAGGAAGGCCGCGGGAGGTCTGGCAGTCGTCGTCCTCGTCGAGGAGGAAACAAGCCGCGCAAGGAGAAGCAGTCGACGACGTCGACCTCGGCGAGGGACGCCGACTCCTCTGCTGGCGGCAAGGGGCGGGACGACAAGACGGCGTCGTGCTTGCTGGTCGGCGTCGTGGAGCCGACCGTCTCGCTGGCGCCGGAGGCCGGAGAGGACTTCCAGGCGGTGGCGGCAGCTGTGCAGGCGAACCCGGCGGTGGTCCTGCTCGATAGCGGCTGCTCCCACCACCTGATGGGGACGAAGGAAGTCTTCGTCGACCTGCAACCGAGCGGCTCCATCAAGCACGTGCGCGGCTTCAATGGGGCGCTGCAGGACGTCCAGGGCCGTGGCACCGTCGCCCTGCAAGGGGAGGCCGGGAAGCAGGTGCTCATCCCTGACGTGCTGTACGTCCCGGGTGTGCGGGCCAACCTGCTGTCGTCCGGCCAACTCAAGGAGCACGGTGTGAAGCTGCAGGAGGACGGCGACGGGATGCTGCTCGTCTCAGCAGCGGGAGAGGTGCTCGGTCGGGCGACGTACTCCGGGCGTGTCCTCTGCACCGACCTGCGTCCCTGTTCACCGAGGTCGACGTCGCCCACGCCGGAGGTTGTGGCCCTGCGGGCGATCATCTCGAAGACGAAGTCGACGCCGGACAGGATGCATGCGAGGCTTGCACATGTCGGCATGGACACCATACGGAGCTCGGCAAAGCACGAGGTCGCCACTGGGCTGGACCTCAAGTCGGCGACGGGCGCCGACTCACTGTGTGTCTCGTGCGTCGGCGGGAAGCTGGCGCGGCACACCTTCCCCGACCAAGGCTCCGACGCCGACGACGTACTGGCTGTCGTGCACATCGACCTGTGCGGGCCGTTCTGCGTGGCTGCCAAGGATGGCAGCTTGTACTTCTTGCTGCTCAAGGACCGCAAGACCCGCTTCGTGTGGGTGAGGCCGGTCGCCAAGAAGTCGGATGTGCTGCTGGAGTTCCAGAAGTGGCTGGTGCTGGTGGAGAGGCAGACGAAGAAGTCGGTGCTGATGCTTCACTCCGACCGCGAAGGGGAGTTCCTCGGGAAGCAGTACACTGACTTCGTGGACGGCAAGGAGATCGTCCACGACCTCACCTGCCCGTACACCCCACAGCAGAACGGCATGGCGGAGCGGGAGATGAGGACGGTGGTGGAGTCGGTGCGGACGATGCTGCTGCACATGGGCGTGCAGCACCACTGGTGGCACCTCGCTCTGCGGCAGGCCGTCTGGGTCCGCAACTGCCTTCAGAGGTCGACGCTGCCGTCGGGGACGACGCCCTACCAGCTGCTGACTGGGCAGAAGCCCGACTTGTCGCTGGCGCGGGTGTGGGGCTGCATGGCGCAGTTCCTCGTCCCCGAGCAGCGGCGTGGTGGGAAGCTGAAGCCGAAAGCCAGGTGGGGCCTTCACCTCGGCGTGTCGAAGGAGAGCAAGGGCTGGGAGCTCCTCGACATCGCCGACAACCGGGTGGTCACCACGTCGGACGTGGTGTTCTACGAGGATCTGTCGCTGGCCGAGTGGAAGTCGGAGCACGGGCCGGTGTCAGGACGGACGCCGACCACCCTGCCGACCGACACCTCAACGGCGACGCTGCCTCTACTCGCCGAGGTCGGTGAGCTTGCTGTTGAGGACGTCGAGGACGTCCACCCTCCTTCCTCTTCCCCTTCCCCTCCGACCCCTGCCCCTCCCCTCGTGGCCGAACTGCGCGGGCTGACTTCTGAGTCGGCCTCCGGCGATGAGGGGAGCCGTGGGACGTCGCCTTCGGCGCCGGCCATGGGCATCGCCGGTGGCCGACGTGACGAGCGGCAAGTCGACCTGGGAGTAAAGTCGACGTTGACAAGGGAGGATCAGGTCGAGGAGGTGCAGCCGACTTGGGTGAAGTCGGCGAAGCAGGCAGCAGGGCAGCAGTCGACAGGGGAGCAGGCAGCGGTGAAGCCGACCACGGAGCAGTCGGCAACCAGGCAGTCGGCAAAGGAGCCGACCACAGGGGAGAAGTCGGCCAGGAAGCCGACCCAGGTGCAGCAGGGCGA